AAGCTTCAGGTCTGCCCGCAATGCCTGCAATTCCTCTCGAAGCTTTGCAAATGTCCGCTCAATGAATCCTCAATCCGACCAAAGAAGAATATTCTTCTCGGTGAAACTGATTTGTGCTTCCTACATGACGCTATGGATGCACACGGGTGAGTTCTTTTGACGCGAGCGAACCAAGAAACGTACAGGTCGTCACATACCTACAAAACCTACAGGCGATGGCTCCAATCAAGCACATGCCTGCTCTGAACAATGAAGCCTTCAAATCTGAATCTAAATGATGATCCTCTCCTCACCTTGAACGTTGATCACGAACTTCTGCTCATCTTCGACCTTAGACATCTTGATCTTATCTTTGATTCTCGACAGACTTTTGACGACCTTTCGCCTTTCAACGTGTCCCTCGAATGTCAAGAGATGTCAGACTTGAACGCTACGCAGCCAAGCAGCATGCCCCCGAGATAGAATGATAGCATGCTCTCCTGGATAAATCTGTTCCTGGCCTTGCTTGTTGATGAGTCCAAGGACATCCAAGGTGCCAGTAAAGTCCACATCCACAGTTTTGCCAGCAGGAACTGCAATACGCTTGAAATCTCGAAGTGCGCGCTTGGGCAGCGGATGATCAACCTTGCCTATATCAACCGCTGAATGGTAGAGCTGCACCACTTCTTCTCCATCCAACTTCCCTGTGTTGCGTAGCTGACACTTGAAAAGAAATCGTCCTGTCTGAGGTACCTTAGCCTTAAAGCAATTCAACTGGAAAGTAGTTAAGGAAAGACCATATCCAAAGTGGAAAAGCGGTTCGCCCTGGTAGTACTTGTACGTTCGACCTGGGGTGGCTGACATGTCATAGTTGGTCATGGGCTGTTCTGCGATATAGCTGTGCGGGTACATGGTGATAGGCAACTTGCCCCAGCGGTTTTCCTTACCCATCAAGGCCATTCCTAGTGCCTGGGCACCTTTGTGGCTTGGGTAAAAGGCCTGGACGACAGCGGCTGGAGCATCTGTAGCGGTTTCAAGCAAGGCATCTATGGCCATGGGCCCACCACTCACAAGAACGATCACAGTGGGCTTGCCCTCAGCGAGGACCTTCTTTGCGAAGACCTCCTGCAAGCCAGGAAGTGCTGTATCAACTCGGTCCTTCCCTTCGGTTTCAATACTCTTGTCATCGCCCAAAGCCAAAACTACAAGCTCCGATTTACGCACGGCATCTAGAGCCGCTGGGATTGCATCAGTCTTCGTACTATTAATCTCAACCCCCATCGCGCTGATGACCTTTCCGTGACTTGCTGCTGCAATTCCCTCTGCAATGGTGGGTACACAAGCATCAGTACCATCAAAGCAGTGACTACCTGCTGCATAGTCTGAGAATAATCCACTGCGTGAAACTGAGTGTGGCCCCACAACAGCAATATTGGCGCCATCACCGATCGGCAAGACCCCATTGTTCTTTAACAAAACCAAGCCTTGCAATGCAGCTTCGTATGAAATCTTCTGGTGAAAGGTATGGTTCACTTCCGACAAACCATACCTTGGATCTGGGCAGCTAGAAGGAGACAGCAGAATTTCAAGAAGCCACCTAGCACACACGTGTTCCACTTTGAAGCCTCTTTGAACGATGACATAAGATTATCATCACAGGATGTCATTGGTGGGCGCTGTAGTTGAATATTTAGGCCCAGAATCACAATGTACTGAATATAATATCTGCCAGCCTCTCCATTTGCAAAAGTAGTTTGGCTGTCAAAAACGGAAAACAAACGCAATGTAACGCCAGTGTGTGGTTGCAAAGCAGATTGCGAAGGATTAGATACATCAGTATCTTAAGTGAGGGGACGAAAGCCAACCTCTGGGTTAGGGGGGGCCCTTGAGGCAAGCCTGGCGTTTGCTCGCTGTTTGTTATTGAGGTCCTGCAGATGGACTCAGAGACTTGGCGTGCAAGATGAAATGATTGGGTAAGATCGGGGAAAGAGTACTTTCATGGGGAAAAGTTGATATCGCAGCCACCCTGGTTTGGGGGGGGTGCCTGTTTTCGTCCGGTTAAGGGGCGTTTTGGCGGTGAAGAAGGGGATCCTTAAAGAAGTGAGGGGCGCTTGCCTGCTGTGTGTTGCGAATCAGTGAGCAATCATGTAGCTGGAGGTGGTGAAGTTGATATTGAAGCGGCGTGAGCGTGCAAGATGAAGTGATTGGCGAACATCGGGCAAAGAGTAGTTGTATGGGGTGAAGTTGATATCGCAGTCACCCTGATAAGGAGTATAAACAGAAAGTAGAATACGTCTACGTAGGGTTTGGGGGGGGGGTGCCCTTTTTCGTCTTAGTTCAGCGGCGTTTTGGAGGTGAAAAAGGGCACCCCTGAGGTATGTATATTATGCGCGTTTGCTTAAAGATGGTTGTGGGGCCTGTGGGCGAGGGTATCGGCAGGCCTCGTGAGGACACATATATGTAGGTAGAGTGGACGAAGAGTAGCCGGAAGTGGTGAAGTTGATATTGCCGTCTTTTGAGAATGAGTGGAAATAGAAAGTGGATACATAGGTTTGGTTTCACCTTCACAACGCCCCGACATCAGGACGAAAAAGGGCACCCCTGTAGGCCGGGAAGGTTTGGTATGGTGTGTGGTCTATTTTTCAAGTGAACTGATACCACCAGCCTCCATCTTCCCTCCCCAGCCCCGTCCCCACCCATGCGCCTCCCGTCTCGCTCCCC